CATGGCCACCACCAAGTCCCCCACCACCTCCTAACCCACCTCCACCACCAAGCCCACCACCGTGGCCACCACCAAGTCCACCTCCACCACCTAGCCCACCACCGTGGCCACCACCAAGTCCACCACCGCCTCCAAGTCCACCTCCACCGCCTCCTAGCCCACCACCGTGGCCACCACCAAGTCCACCACCACCTCCAAGTCCACCTCCACCACCAAGCCCACCACCGTGGCCACCACCAAGTCCACCACCGCCTCCAAGTCCACCTCCACCACCAAGCCCACCACCGTGGCCACCACCGAGTCCACCACCGCCGCCAAGTCCACCACCACCACCAAGCCCACCACCACCACCAAGCCCACCTCCACCGCCAAGTCCACCGCCACCACCAAGCCCACCTCCACCGCCAAGTCCACCGCCACCACCAAGCCCACCTCCACCGCCTAAGCCACCACCACCACCGAGCCCACCTCCACCACCTAACCCGCCACCACCACCTAAGCCACCTCCACCACCTAAACCACCACCACCACCCAAGCCACCTCCACCACCTAACCCGCCGCCACCGCCAAGTCCACCACCACCACCGAAACTTCCATGCCTAAAGCCCTTCCTCCCTAGACCAGGCCTTTGCAAAGGCGGCCTAAAACGAGGTTTGATAAAATGAGGACGAGGGAACAAGTGCTTGTCCTCTTCAACCTTACTTACTTCAGCCGCAACCAAACCACACACAAGAAAAACGCTCAAGAAATAAGCCACAAAACGACCTGAAAAAACCCTCATTGTCGTATAATAATCCTAAGAAAAAACAATAAGATTTATATCAAAGTTATATAATCAGCTCACAAGCTGTGAAGGAGTACTAGTGCAAAGAAGAAGTGAGATATATATAGAGTGAAAAAAGAAGAAGGTAATAAATTTTAGATTGGAAAGGAAGGTGTAAAATCACCCAACTGTCACGATGGACGTAGTAAATGAGTTTCATCTGCCATTTGTGCACATAATTTATTCCTCCAACCGCCCTCTCTCCTCTCATAGCTCCGACGCGCTCCAACAGATTTAATACACTGTTTCTGCAATAGATTAGGGTTTTGACTATTAGGGTCTTTTTCATTTTTCTCAAGACAATTGTTTTTCTAAGCTTTTTTTGTGAAAGTTGGTCAACTTTCCGAGTTGGATTTGTCAAGTTCCAAGCTGATAATTCATGAAGAAACATTAAAAATGGGATCAAAATCCACAAATATTTGATTTGAATATGATCAATTTGTTGTGAGCTCTTGGCAGAAGATTACTATAATGTGATCTCATTTAATATTGTTGTAGCTTTTTCATTTGATGCCATTAATGAAGCAAATAAACAATGTCCTGCCAGCAAGATTTTCTCTCTCTAGATCTCTCTCTCTCTCTCTATATGATCTCTATTTCTATCTCTATCTCATAGTTCTTATCTATGTAGCTGATATTGAAGATGAAAAATATAATGTCGCTAGAATTAGATAGCATTGCGTATATATAGTAATCATATTCTTTCTCTCAGTTAATAATTTAGATTTAGATATTAATAAACTGAACAAAAGAAAAAGTAATCATTTATGTAGCGTGCCCTACATACTGATGATCAACCTCTCGAACTGAACTATTTCAGCGATTTTGTTGTACAGTCGACAAGAAATTTAGAAACAAAACGCTTAACAATCCATCCAATATAATTAACACAAGATTTCAACGAATAGAATTAAAGTAATAGAATGAAAGAACATTGTCGGCACAGTATTCTAGTTAATTGACAGTGTGTGTGTGTGTGTGAGGACGTATTATCTTTCAAAAGAAGATACGTGCGTGTGCATATTTTCATGTATTTTTATATGCTAGTACTTTTCATTCTCACTAGCACTAAGAGTAGATACGACGACGGATTTAGAAACCGTATTTAATCAGTTTTGTCAAAAACATACAACGATGGTTTTTAAAGCTCATTTAAATACGCATGAAACGCCATATGAATTCAGGGAGGGTATATTAAGCGATGGTTTCTGTACAAACCGCTGTGAAATGTGCCAAAGGTTTTCACGGATCAAATATTAAGTCTTAAATTCTTTTTTATTTTTTTATTTTTTATTTTATTTTAAGATCACGCAAGCAGAAAGCTAATTCCTTGCTCAAATAAAAATTTTACCAAACAAAAAAAGAAGAACTATTTTGAAAACTATTTTAACAATTAAAAAAAAAACTATCATATTTTACCAAACAACACAAATAACAATTTTGAAATAAATATATTACGAATCCTCCTTGTATATAATCTTCAATATACATATGACATAAATTTTCCCAAAATGGTAAGTAAAGTTTCTCTGTAAAATCTAACTAATTAAAAATACTAAAATACAAAAAAAAAAAAAAAAAAAAAAAAAAAAAAAAAAAAAAATAAAGATATATCCAAATATAAAAAAGGTCTTACAAAGAATTAAAATGTTTAAGGATTCTAAAAGTGCTCTGATTCTGATGGTCATAGTGATGGAAGCAAACATGGTGCAGTAGGGTCATAGGGGTGATGACATGCGTGGTTGTCGGGGTCACAGAGGTGGCGGCAATGGCAAGGTTGAGGGAGTGAGGAGTACTGTGGATTTGAGGAAAATCGGGATATAGACAAAAATTTTAACATTTGAGAGGGGAAGAAAATTAGAGAGGGAATTTAGAGCAAGAGAGGGAGGATTTGACAGAAAAATTCAGAAGATGGAGAATGGAAGAGAGTACTCAACATTATAGAAATTAGGAGAGAAAATTTGAAATTTTTTTTGAAAAAAGTTACGCGAGAAAGAGCATGCTCTTTTTTTTTTTTTTTTTTTTTTTTTTTTTTTTTTTTTTTTTTTTACTTTTTTTTGAAAATTTTTGATATTAGGCAAGAGTTTTCATCTTTTGAAAACTTTCATCTAATGTACACATACGACTTTCAAAACACTGTAATCTCCATGCCTCATTCTTTTAGTATGTTAAACGATATTTTTCTGCAAAACATTATTAAATAGGCATCATCTAATCTCAAACTTATAGTAATTTGTTTAGGTATGTTGGGGTCCGGTAGCTCTGGAGGGTATGATATGGCAGGGAGTGTGCACGTGTAAGTATTTGACTCGTTAGTGGTTGTTCCAATATGGCCAAAATACTTAACAGGCCTTTAAAGTAGATGACTATGGTAGGACCTCCGACGGTGTTGTGGTTCGCTTAGGCTAAAATTAGGCCAAAGAACACGTGTTCTAGGACCCCCTTTATTGCCAAAATCACAAAAATACTCATGCAAAATGTTAGAAAATCCAAAAAATAATAGTGAAGAACTTCGTGAATGAAGAATGGGGGGAGGAGCGATCACGTAATTGATAGAGGAGTGACTCGAGAGGTGGATAAGGCTTTTTGATGAAGGAGGGCTCCAAAGGTAGTTTTCGGGCTGCTTTGGAGGCTTTGAGTATGCAGTTTCGTTGGTGGATAAGATGCTGATGGAGGAAAGTGATATGGAGGAGTCTAGTGAAAGAGAGCTCTAAAAAAAATGCAGGTGGTTCCGAGAGTGTAGAGACCGTTTGGAGAACTCCTTTCGATGGTGGATGAGAGTGACTCCAAGGTTGAAAGCTTGAAAAATTCCGGGAAAGTATAAAAGAAACTCTTGAATCACTCAGATGATGGTGGAAAAGGATTTGGAAAGTATTCTTGAGGACTTTCTAAGGAGGTCAACACTTAAAAAGTTTGATGCTCCTCAAGAACTTAAAGAAGACTCTAACTCTTTGTAGCAAAAGACTTAAAGGGAGATGATTTCTTAAGAGTTTCAGCACTCTTTTCGTTTAGAGGAAGGCCATTAGATACCTTTCTTAGTTTGACAAAGAGATGGTCCGGAAATGGAATGGAAAGTTCTGGAATGGAGGAAACGATGGTGGGCTGTTAGTGCATCCCTATTCGGAGGAAAGGTTTCAGACAGCTTTGTGATTTTGACAAAGAGACTCACTGAAAATGGATGAAAAGTTTCTAAAAATTAGCTCTGGCGGCGTTTTGATGAAGTAAGGCACAAGTCATTCCGTTTGAAGCAAAATCCTGTTGTGAATGGTGTCATAGAAACATGTGATGTAATAGGATATTTATTATTTATTTAATAAAGGAGTTTATTCATTATTTTTTGTGCATATATTAATGAATATTTTATGATTTTTAGTGAAAATTTCATGATTATTTATGTGACCTTAAATATTATATATAAGTGTTATATGCGAGAGGATAATATTTAAGGATAATAATCAAAACAATGTTCGTAATGAATTTAATAAAAGTGAAGAATCTTTAATTAAAACATTACTAGTACATGTTATTCCCATTTAGAATGGAACGGTGTTAGCCGCACTGTTAATATGGTGAGATATTGAATATGTATTATGCATAATGAGATTATGTGGAATAGGGACACAAACACAATATGAATTTTTGATAATTTCTGTTAAGTATAGAAATTCTAATTGAGTCTATCGATGGTCATATATAGAATGATCTTAATCCTGAGTTTTTAGTAGACTCCTATTTATGGATTTGTGTCTTTTGATTTACTCAGTACGGATTCCGAGATCTTGAATCCTATTCCTTGTATTTTGGAGACATGATAAAGTAAGTAGCCGGGAATGTTATTATACGAGATGGAATCCATTCCTTCTTGAGAAAGAAGTAGATAAATAATTCTCTTGAAGGTTGATTCGGTGCTTGGACTAGTGGGAGCTCTGATTCATGAATTTGTTTTATGAATCACTGTCCATTAGAAAATCAATGGTAATCAATAAAGATGTAATTAGAGAGGTTAACGGATTTCACCTAGCTCTAATTATGAATTATTGATGGATGATTGATCTATATGCAATGACTATATAAAATGGATACTTCACAGTTTAGAAGTAATTTATGTTCATAATTACGAGAGTGTAATTCCAAGTTTATAGTGGAGTAACTATTAAAATTAATAGAATTAATTAATAAAGAGTTTAGTTAATTATTAATTTTATTGGAGTTCAGAATTATAGGTCCATGAGTCCCCACGTCGTCCTTGTAATTCTACATGACACTAAGGGCGAAAATGGGAATTTTAGAATTATGGAACTCTAAAATAAAATGCTCAAGGATAATTAATTGAGAATTGATTATAAATTAAATAATGTAATTATTTTAGTTTAAGTTTAAATTTGATTTTTGAAACACACATGTGAAGGTGTTCACATAGTTTGAACACAGAGCACGGTCCCTTTAGGATTCAAATTGCTTGCTCTCCATAGTTATCCAATTAACTTATTTGATAAGTTGTCCAATTTGAAATTCAAATTGATTTAAGTTTGACTTAAATTGGAATTTGAATTTAAGTTAAAAATTAGATTGCAGGATAAAATTTTGCCATATTATTCTTTATCTACAAAATTACGCCTACCACAGGGAGGAAATCCCTTAGTGGTGGCCGGCCGTATAGGATAAGGAGGAGAGTGGATTTTATCTTGCAGATGAAGATAAGTCTCCTTCTACGAGTCTAACTATTACTCTACAAAATAAGAGATTGTAGAAAATTGTGATACACAATTTATTGCTCTCCCTAACATAGGTGGCCGAATTTTATAGAGTGATGACAGGAAAAATTTTCTCTAAAATTCCACGTCGTGCATGTATTGGTGTTCGTAAAAACCTTAAGTGTTTTTGCTAATCCGGTTTTGTTTCAGGTCTGCCCACAAACTCGTTCATTGTATATTTAAGGAATTGACAAGGAAGATTCT